TTTTGCAATTAGAGACGGGGACAGTGCAGGACTGAACGTATTTCAAAGATCGAAGACAACTTCCTTGCAACTCCGATCTTAATTCGGTCATTTTAGAGAACGACGTGGTGATCAGCGGTTCGAATGAGGTGGAAGGCGGCGGCACGATCGTCGTTCGGTGCAACATCACGCTGAAAATGGCCAACAAGCAGCTGCCTTCCTACGTGCTCTGGTACTTCAATGACACCCTTCTGACCTTCATCCACAGCAGTAGTAAGGAGAGGACGCGTAGAGCCGAAATTCGCGTTCATTTGCGTCTGGTTGTTTAGAGTACAAGCAACAGATTTTCACGCGCCAGAGGGGCCTCGTCGCTGAACTCCGAGTGCACGATGCCCAGCAGAACGACAGCGGCTGGTACAAATGCAAAGCAGACAACAGCCCACCGAAATCAATGCCCGTTTACGTGAACGGTACGTGTACTTCAACCTTCTTCTGTTCTGACCGTGATGGAAATGTATCCTCGATGTAGCGAAGTGACCCGGTGCCTTTCTGAGCTACGCCTCGTCTGGTTGCAGAGTTCATTGGTTAATTTCTGCATGGGGCACAACACCTCAATTTTGATGTATGTGCTGAGAAACGAAATTGTCATCAACAACATCAGGCTTTGTCGATCCACTGCTGAATGAAGGTCTCTCCATCACTTGCAATAACCTACGGTTATCCGCTTTTTTCGTCCACTCTGGTTCGGTGACGTTCTTCAGCTCGTTCTGGGATCGATCTGAAGGTGTTTCCATGGGCGGTTTACTCTCTTTTGGAACCCAGCCTAATGTCTCTCTGGTCCAGCGATGGTCGGTTATTGTTGTAACGTGCCCTGCTCGATGCAATTTCAAGTTCTTCAATTGTACAATGACATTGCAGACCACTATTTGACTCTCGTCTTAATCTTTTCCTTTTTGTTTCCATGCTGGACTGCGTAATTTATAGTTGTACTCTGGCTAAGCGTCGACATTTCGCATCCATACGTTAGTACCGGGAGAAAGGAGAACACTCTGATCGAATACTTTCCGTTTAAGGCACAAAGGCAGCTCTCTGGATAGGCACATTTTCAATCTTCCAAGAGCCTCCATGCTGCTAATATTTTTCTGTTGATTTCACATGGTCGATTCATCGTTGCTAAGATACAAGTTCCGAATGGACGTAGTTTTGCAGTTCTTCAACAGGTTGCGCGGTCAAGTGTTTGTTAAACATGACTAGGTCTTCTTCGGCTTTATTTTCCGTTCCACTTTATTCTGGCACCGTTCAACTCTTAGATTCTTCCTTTGAATTCTTCTTGTGCCCTTGAGAGGGTCAAACAATCATCAGCAAATCACAGGCGGTTTCAATACTTTTACGTTTAGCTGCTGATTTTCCATTGGAGTTTCTGGAAAACTTTGTTAGTGAATGATGAATGGCTTAATTCTTACACGGATCGCCTAAGAATTCCATTTTTCAGCAAAAGGAAAAAACACATGGGAACCATGTGCATATCACAAAGAACAAAAAAGAATCAGGGACTACGAAGCTACAGGGCAAAGACAAATAGGAAGAAGAATAGGTCACATTGAGGAAATTCAAGTATTGTTGTCCAAGGTCCCTGAAACTTCGTAGAATACAGAAATTTGCCATCCTGCAAGACGAGCATGTCTTTTTCCGTGTATTGCATTACTCAGAAGACCATGGGAGACAATGTTCTTGAGATCTTTATCAGGAATCGTTGCTGTGACTCTGAAACGACGGGCATTGATGCTATCACTGAAGTAGGTAAACCGATCGATCGAGGGCTGATCACACTAGAACACTGTTGCCACCATTTTGCGAGAAAAGTTTAACGCTGAAACAAAACGAAAACGAGTAAGCATGGATGAAAGAACAGTTGAAAACTATGAAAAACACTACTTTGATCTGAACTGCCGTGTAGGGACGTCGAAAATCTAAAGCACAGAGAAGGATTGACGACAGACGACGAAACGAAGGAGTGACCAACCGCATGTTAACATTTGACCAATCCCCCTAGGGCTGTTTTAAATGACTACGGTGATATTGGATCTCCCAGTCAATCAGACGCCCTGTGGACTTTAAACTGTGTCTATGCCGTCTTGAGCTTCACGCTCGCAGTCGCATTCTTGTAAATGCATTGTGATCAGCTTTATGGAGCATGTCTAGGTTCCTTGGCTCCTCGAGAAATCCAGTAAAGAACCGATATACAGCAAACGCAATTATACTCAACTAAATGTCGGCTGTGAGTCCTGATTTAATAGAAATGATTAGCATTATATGAGGTTCGTGTACCAAAATATTATCAAATTGTTTTATTAGTCAATCTATGTATAGATGGACGAATAGTCGAACGAACGCACCATTAAATGAACCGACAAGAATGGAAAGAAAATGGGTTGCAGCCGCAGGAATGCCGGTCTTCT